TCTTCCTTATTTCTTTTTTTAAAAATGGGCGTTTCCCCTTTTCCAGTCTGCTGGCAACTTCACCAGAGTGCCACGACTTCTCAAATATGATGGACAGTGGTTTGGCAACTTTATCTGCCAGTTCCCTCAGGACCCGCGGATGTATCTCATCAGGTCCCATGGACTTGTGCGCCTTCAGGTTCTTTAGATGGTCTCAAACCTGATCTTCTACAGCTGGCTTGAGCTCTTGCCCGTGAAGGCTGCGGTAAAGAACTCATTAAGTACCTCAGCCTTCTCTATATCATGGGTCACCAGGTCTCCTGCTTTCTTCCGGAGGCGGCCCACATTTTCCCTAGTCCTCCTTTTATCACTGACATACCTATGGAAGTTCTTCCTGTTACCCTTAACATCCTTGGCCATATTTAATTCTGTTTGGGCTTTAGCTTTCCTAACCTGATCTCTGGCTTCACGGACAGTGTCTCTGTATTGTCCCCAGGCCACGTGTCCTTGATTCCACCCTCTATATGCTTCCTTTGCTTGATTTTGCTCAGGAGTTCCTTGTTCATCCATGCAGGCCTCCTGGCATTTTTGCCTGCCTTCCTCTTTGTTGGGATGCATCGCCCCTGAGCCTGGAGGAAGTGATCCTTGAATATTAGCCAGCTTTCTTGGGCCCCTCTTCCCTCCAGGGTTTTATCCCATGGGAAAGAGCAAAGTTTGTTGGGTTGTTTCTTTTTTTCCCTACTGGAATGAATAAGGAGTTAAGCAAAAAATAATAAAAGACAGTGTGACATGTAGCTCAGAACTAGTCCTTTGGCACCCATGTATGTCCTCCTTTCCCAGGATGCTCAATGTGGAGAGGGAACGCGAGTGAGGAACATTTCCTGTGTGGTTTTTGATGGATCCGTTGAAGATGTTGGCAAAGTAGTAGATGAGGAATTCTGTGGAGAAATAGAGCCTATTATAGATGGTAATAAGAAGATGATACTTGAGGAAACGTGCACTGTCCCTTGTCCAGGTAATAAAGCTATAGAAATAAATGTTGCATTTCAAGATTGGTTGGGTATCATTACAGTTATTGGTGCCTAGCTTTAGCCATAGGCAATTAAATCTTTTTCACATGCTTTACTGGTTGGATTCATCCATCAATGATCAACAGAGTTACTTTCCAGTAGTGGCTTCATGACAATAAATCAATTAGAAAAAAATACCAGGTTTTAAGTTTTATAAAAGATATATCTCAGTCATAGATTATGCCTAATAAAACCATATTTTTTCACATTATCTTTTGAAATAAAACCTGTGTTTATAAGAAATTTTTTGTTTTCCAGATAAATAGTTGCTTTAAGTGCTTAGATCACCTACTAGCTTTATTAATACATTTAACAGTGGCTAAGAATTGGATGCTTTTTACAGGTGTCTAAGGAAGCTAAGCTGGGAGTCTTATTTTTTTTGTTTAAAGGGGCTATCCCAAGTGAATGGTCTCTGAGAAAATGTGAGTGTTTCTGGCTGTTTAACTCACTGGATGAGACATGCATTATCATTGCCCTTGTAGGCTGAATCCAAATGAGCTGTTATAAATGATCAGGTCCATGACCCTCACACCAAGAAAGATTAAGTGCCTATAACAGCTGATAATTTCCAGTAAAACTGTTCCCATTCATTTCAAATGTTTGTTTGTGGAATTTGAAGCATATTGCTGTTGGTCAGTTGAGTCATTAATGATATATCTTCAGAAGCAGTGATTAAATCCTTCAGTTCTAATGTAGCTATCATTCTCTACCAGTACTCTCTTTTTGTTCTGATGCAACTCTCCTTTTTCTCTGAATGTTTTTCCATTTCGTTTCAGACTGAACCGAAGGTAAAGTTGGCTCAATAGAGAGAAAATAATCAGAAACGGAGATTCTTTCATCAGTTCTTTGTGCACAGCATTCCAATTGCATGATTTTCCCATATTTTTATTTATTAAATCAAAATTGGAAGAATAAAAAGCTCGTAGTTATATTTTCTTGTCAGTCAAATTTATAAAAAAAATATAGCTGCTTATTGCTTGTTTTTAAAATTTTGCTGAGCAGGAACCTCTTCAACAATCTCACATTTAGCCAGCAAGAATAACTGCCCTGTGGGGATGTGCTAATGATACGCTTCAACTAATCATTCCAAAAATCATTACTTGTTTTCCTATTATGTATACGTCAGTTCTTCAATTATTAATTTCTTTGCATGCTTTTCTAACATTGGCAAATAAAATTCCTTCATTAATCAGGCATCTGGTCAACACAGTACTGATTATATCTGTCATCAGTATCATGCAAGGTAGCATGAATTTTTAATAACTCTTTCACTGAAATAATGAGAACTAAGAGGTTTATTTATGAGTCTATGCACAGTCTAGTCCCATTTTCTACTGCAGTTTTATCAAAATGGTCTCTCTGTGTTGTGCCTCAGATCCTCCTTAAGTGTTCTTTAACTGATTGTGCTAGTTAGTGTCATTAGTATAATTTTTTTTTCAGTTTTACACTATAAGATATCATTCTAGAAATCCCTATCATCCTAACATGAAATAACCAGAGTGGACATTTTGATCACCTTTCCATTTCCGTTTCTTGCAAAGAATGTTCCAGGAGTTGCTTCTACTGTCTAGAAAAAAATCTGCATGAGGATAAGCAATGATTAATCTTTATAAAACTAGACAATGTTTGCTCTTCCTAAGATGAAAGAAGAATGGTGAACAAGATATATAAATTTAGCAAAAGACATACCATGCACAATACCCTAAATTTACAAAAACCCAAACATTAGGTGGAGTGTTACTCAGAAATTCAAAATGAGAGTGATCTTATGGGAATGCTACAGGAAACTACCCTGCTTTAGAACAAATAAGCTTTTGTGTAATTTTTTTATTACTATTTTCTGCTGCACAGATATTCAGCGAGTGTCAAAATATTATCTTAAGTCACATTTAAAAAGAGAGATGAAAGGAACTACAAAGCAGGAAAATTGAGAAATTGGATTTGGACATTTTTTTCTAAGACATATTCACTGTGAAAAACTTCACGTTATGATCATTCATCTTATAAAATGACTTTTTTACAGGGGACTGTTACTTGAGAGAGTGGTCAGAATGGAGCCTTTGTCAGCTAACCTGTGTTAATGGTGAGGATCTTGGCTTTGGAGGGATACAAGTCCGATCTCGGGCAGTGATCATTCAGGAATTAGAGAATCAACATCTCTGTCCAGAACAGGCTTTGGAAACAAGACCATGCAATGGTAAGCACCAAGATACACTTAAGGCCACTTTCTGTAAGAATAAAACAGAGAACAACAATAGTTTTGTTTTCTTTCTCTTCATGGTATCCAATTTAGGAAAATACAGATCTGATTGAAGTAGAAATGCACTAAAATTTTTGTCTTTCAGGTATCAACTGTGAACAGAAAAACTTTCAAGTGCTAACTGACATATGTTACCACTTTGAACAGTCTTTGGAGAATTGATGATCCTTTTTTAATAATGAAATTTCTTTTTTATGATATGGGAAAAAATACTTGTCTTATCTGCTTGATAATATTAAGTTTTTATACATAATCAAATTTAAATTTCTTTCTACCTTTTGAATTGTTGTCAATCACATTACAGTGACATTAGAAAGTCTCAGTCATGCTTACTGCTGGTCAAGTATCTAAGAAAAGTAATTTACTGTACAGAGATTTCTTGTCCGTTCAGATACCAGACAGATCAGGAAAAAATGAATTTTATATTTATAAGGGAGCTAAGGTGCAGAAGGACTTCATGATTTATCCCAGGTGATATGAGAGGTGTACAGCAGAGCTGAGACCTGAAGCCAGATGCAGCACAGGCCACTTCTCCAAGCACTGGAGCATTGACTGAAGCTCAGGTGTTACCAGGAAAGGAACCTAACTCCTAAATGAGTTTTGCGCAACAGATGGGCTACAACCGTTATGAGGTTATTGGAAACAGATGTTTTATGCATTAGCTATGTTAGGCTTACTCCACAAGCAGTGTGCACAACCATTATAGTTAGGGTCCAGGACACATCTGGTCTGTTCTGTATGTACACAGTAAATGCAGGAGACCTTGGGGCCTCCATTTGTGCAGTGCAGCCTTCTAAGCTGCTGGGTGACAGAGGAAGGGGCCTATTTAGCCATAAAAGCTGTTAAGCATAATGAGTATGGTGGCACCTGCCAGTGGAAGCCTAAAATCTTGTCATCATATTTCCTGAAAAGTGAATATTCTCTGTGTAGATGGCCAGTGCTACGAATACAAGTGGATGGCCAGCCCGTGGAAGGGATCTTCTAGAACCGTGTGGTGCCAAAGGTCAGATGGTTTAAATGTCACAGGTAATTACTCTTTTTATATACACACAAAAGCCTAGAAAGCAGGTGGGTAATGTCTTTTCTCAACAAATGTAAATATTTTTTTTTAAATAATCTGCTAAAAACACTTGTTCCTGATGTATGAATCAACGTGCTGTTGTCTTGAATTATGTTTTTGCATAGTAAATAGAAATAGTAATTTCTTTTCCAGAATTATGCAGCATGTAATGCGAAAAGTAAATATAAATATTGTCTTCTGTACTGGACCTGGAATGTTTTACATTGTATATTTTTTTTACCATTGACATCTTTACACTTCTAAATTTAGAGTTTCAGATTTCAAGCCATACAACAAATAGAACTTTTATGTATTAAAGTTCATTTCAGTGCCTATACAGAGGCAGAGCAAGATGCAAAGCTTGATAATATCATGCATATATCATATATCTCCTTAAAATTACAACATATCAAATTCTAATAAATGTGCCAATGTAAGTTTATTTATTTCCTTCAATGACATAAACCTATAGCAGGATACTTCAATGGACAGCTAGGGGATGTAGCCTCATTTTGTGCAAACCAAAGCACCAAAATACCACGAATTAAGAATGACTGAGATCTCCAAAATCAAGAAAATCTTCATATATGTCTATTTATATGAATTTATTTATCAGAATAAGGGATTCATTTAAGCTAAGAGTTAAGCATTTGTGGTTTAAATAATTTTTGTGGTACCCCAGGTGATAGTAAAAGAATCCCGGAGATTGTAGGCACATCTTCAGTGCCAGCCACTGTCAGGTCAGTCACAGGAGGGGAGCTCTAATTCGTGGACTGCCAATACAATACTTCTTGATGATGGAATCCGCCATGACTGTCTGCTTTAACTTTAGAAATAAAATACCTGTGTTATTTTTACAAGGTTTTGAAATAATACTTAATAGCCCAAAGTCTCTTTTACAAGTGTCACCTTGTGCTGTAAGAATATTAAAATGCACCATCTTCACAACAAATGCAACAGGGCATTATTTATGCACCTTGGTTGCGTCCTGCCTAGCTAAGATGCTTGTATGGTAAGTAAAACCCCAAATAAGAATTCTTATTGAGATTAACATATGATATTATCTATTACAGGTTGTACAGGTTTTCAAATTAATACCATCTTGGTGATTGTGGCTCTGAGATGTTAAAATCAGAATATATTCCTAAATCACAGTCAGTCACATAAAAATAATAGTTTGTTCTGAGGTGACTGAGTACACATGTGATAAATTCCAGGAAAGACAAGTGTGTTATTGGCAGATTTTTCATGACAGGACCTCCTAGGTAGACTAACCTCAGACCTATATTATATCTCTTTTTTTTAAAGTGTGTTTGTACATGGTTTGGAAGCTGTGATAACTTTCTGATTTGAAATGAAGACTAATGGAAAATTCCAGACAATGTAAACATCAGGTTCCATGCAACACAAAACTATAATTTTGACATGTTCCTGATAGTTATTGAATAAAACCCTTAAGTACAACGTTCCGCAGGAAATTCTCTGCATGAAGTATACAGTCATGAATCAGATTGTAATTTACATTTGAACATTTTTTTGAAGTTGTTTGTATAAACTGCAGTGTTTAAGAGCTCAAACTGATAGATGCATATACACAATTGGTGTAAACGGAGATTACCTGCTCTGATCTAGAATCAACCCATATCTCTGATTACTGTATTTCTTTGGTGTCTTGTTGCTGCACATTTGGCTCTACCATAGTGTATTTTAATTCAGACATTATAAATTTTTTATTATGAGTCCTGATGGTGTTTTAAGACGTTTATTTATTTACCTATTTGCATAATATTATTGTGCTGAATAGTTCTTTTTTACTTGAAGGTGTTGTTTCCCATGGGCGATGAGGCAACTCTTTTCTTCTGCAGCTTCCTTGGATGACTGATATTTTGTTACATAGATTCTCACAGGCATGTGATTTGTATGCTAGGATGTATGATTTTCCTTTCTGGGGGTGGGGAGAACTTATGGCAACCAGCAGGGTTTTCTTTGTTCTTCATTGGCCATCCCGTTAACACTTGGATCTACATAACCACATCTAACTGCATCTGCTATGGTCGTGACCAACCTCAGCTATCAGGATTTCATCATCATATCACACCAGTATTAAAATGTAATTAATTTGGGAGATGCGAGATAAGTTGTCCTGTAACAGCATAAATTCTAAACTACATATGCATATCCTTCTTCTGTGAGTTAAAAGGAAACCCAGGTAAATTCAAGCTGATTTTAGATGTATTTTAAAGTAATTCTGTCTGAAATGATAGTGAAAGCCTGATTGTGTGTATTGGTCCATAACAATAACTGCACTGTACTTAAAGCTGTAGAAATGAGAGCTAGGACTGTATAAAAAGGAAAAAGAATGAAACCCACTATATCATCAGTGTCACAGCATTCAGTACATGCTTTACTGTTAACACTGCTTTCCTTACAAATAATCTGTCTTAGACTAGCATGAAGTGTGGCTTCATAAGAGGCAAAGCTATAGCATGTATAAAAGTGACTACTGAGGTGCAGCAGAAAACAGGTATCCATTTATCAACTGGATTAATAGTTTGTTTTCAGTTTAACAGGGAAATATATAAATCAAAAATATGCTTTTATTTTCTTTCTGGCCACAGTTTTAATATGTGAGCCATAAGGAGGGCCCTAAAGAACCAAAATCTGTTCCCTCAAGCACAACAAAATGTTTAAAATGTTTTTTGAGGAATCCCCCAAAGGAACAAAGGGAAAAAGAAAAAGTTCACTTGCCAAATATTAGTCCTCTAAAATACACATGAATGCAAATACATGTGCTGTATCCCTACACTTCTTATAAGAAAATACTTTATTACCAATTATCCTTCACCTTGGAATAAGAAAAAGACACTTAAATTCAAATTAGCGATAAAATTGTAATCCATGGCATACTGTAGCAAGTAATGACATCAGTAACTTCATCAGTGGTGAGGTATTACCATGTCAAAATATGATTTTCTGTCCTACAGGGGGCTGTTTAGTGCTGCACCAACCAGATGCTGACAGGTCATGTAACCCACCGTGCAGTCAACCCCATGCTTACTGCAGTGAGGTATGTGCTACTGCATTGGAGCATAAAACACCCGCATGAGGGCTTCCCACACATCTCTCTGCATTACAAAAAATTATGCCAACAAAAACTATTTTCAGAGATTTTGATGATCATTAGTTTGTTAAAATCAACCGCAGACCATTTCTACCTTTCAATTAAATGTTGAATAATCTCTGCTGATTTGGTACAATCCTGCACCTGAAGAGGTGCTCTCCAGGCTAGCACTCATCAAAACAGTCTTTTCTTCTAGTCATCCATGTTGTTACGCTTTACAGCTCACAGAAAGCTGTGTTTTTCTGCTACACAGTGTAAAACACTTGTTCCCTACAGACTAGAACGTGCAGTTGTGAAGACGGATACACTGAAGTTATGTCCTCCGATGGCACACTCGAACAGTGCACTCTCATCCCAGTGGTGGTGATCCCCACCATGGAGGACAAAAAGGGAGATGTGAAAACCAGTCGAGCTGTGAACCCTACCCAACCCTCCAGTAACCAGTCAGGACGAGGAAGGACCTGGTTTCTACAGCCTTTGGGGCCAGGTGAAGTCATGCAATGAGCAATTCTTAATGCTAAGTACTGCTGCAGGGCATGGCATTTACATTTTTTTGATGCCAAGGAAAAAAAAGAAAAACCATTAAGTGTCCATTTAAGAAGATGGGCATCTGCCCTGACTGAAAACAGTGGAAGAGACAGAAGCAAACCCTTAGCCTTCTCATCTACTCCATCAGTATATTTAATGAATTCTTGTGTTGCAGGTTTCCTTTTAATTCCTTCTATCTGTTAAAATTCACATAAGCTATTTGAAATATGACTTTAGAAAGGAGGTGGCTGCAAAGTTGTGAGCCAGGTTATTAGGTTACGCTGTCTCAACCAATAATGCTGCTGACAGAAGAGTGAAAAGGTAGCACTGAATACCGCAGAGGCTGTTTAAAATTTGCAGCCATAGCATAATTTGTAGGAAAAGAAACAGTAATAGATATGCTAATGCTTTTCTGTCATATCCATAAAGAAACTAATTCATGTTAGACAAGACCTAACCATATTACTGATATTTAGCATACACATGCTCTAAGTCCCTATAGGCAATATTTGCTTTTATGATGGACCACGTTCTTTAGAGCTGAGAAAGGAGACTTATATGCAAGAGTGGCAAGAAACATAGTATGACAGTTATCCCATCAAAAATACTTTTATAAAGTCCATCATGTAATCAGATTTCAGTAAATATTTCCTGAAATAATTAATTATAATTAAATAATTAATTATAATTAAACATTGAGAGAAATAAAACTTTAAGTAACAAATTACTTTCACGTAAAGAGACATGATGCTTGTCCAAAATGTTAGTTATATTAAGAGAGCAATTAGTTATCTTCTTAAGTGTCTTTTAAATCACATAGAGTTAAATATTCTAACACACTTTTTCCTAGTGTTCATTTCTTTCTAAAGGTTTTCTGAATGTTTTTAATCTGAAAATTGAAAGCAATATCTTTACATTCATAATCCATAAAATGCTGCAAATTGAGAACTACAGCAATGCTTCTAATAAACAGATTAAATCATGTTTGGGTAAGAAATACTTATGTTAGATCAAATTAGTCCTACTAGTATTTACTGTTATTTGTACTGTGTTACTGTATTTGATACCTGCAATAAAATGGTCTTTACTCCAATTAGTTAATGCTTTAATCCACAATTAAAAAAAAAAAAAAAAAAAAAGCTTTTCTGCTACTCCTTTAAAAATAGCATCTTATCAAATATGTTATCTTTTAGTCATTCTAGGTAACTCCACCTGAAAATGCCATAAGGTGGGTTATAGCAGCCAGAGGGCTGACAGTAAGCAAATGTCAGATAGTCTCCTTCAACTATTTAGGAATGGGGGGATGTTCATTTGAGCTCAGACATTGTTTTTCGAGTAAGGAACAGTTGAGAGATTTCATGAAAACTCATCAATTTTCCAGTAATTCAAGTTAGGAAGGAAACATAACCTCAGCTCAGATAAAACCCATGGTATTAAATAGAACTAATACTTTATCCAGTGAAGGTATGAGCAAATGTGGAAGAAAGTGAACATTTTGCACTTCAGATGAGATTTGTGCTTGATTGCTTTAATTCTAGGATTGGGTAACTATTTGAAAGGTTTTACTTTAGCATGATTATTCCTTTCCTCACAGTTTTTAGTCTAGATTTAAAATAGTTCTTTCACTGTCTTCAACTAATTATATTGCAGTTCCAGAAAAGAAGGTATTTAATCTACCCTCTTTAGGTGTCTAGGGTGATGTATTACCCAAAACAGGTTAGTTTGGGATGCCAATTCCCTTGTACATGTAGAAATAATCTGTCCGGGGGAATTCAGAACACTTGAGTTAGATGCCTGTAGTTGCATAATATGCATTACCTCATTAACAGAGTTTCCTGCTTTGACAAAAATAAATAAATCCACACACAAGGTAATGCCAGTCTTTTTTTCAAGGAGATAATAACTATTTTAAAACAAGCAAATCCAAAACAACCCAAAACCCCTTACATTTACCAGTGGAAATAAGCCAAGGAAAGAGGAAACCAACCTATTTAGCAGTAGAGAAGTCTGAATTCCTCTCATTAGTGTCATCATATCATTTGGTATGTCAGGTCAAATCTACTGTTCAATCCATCTTTAATGGATCAGTTATTTCAGTTTTATCAGTTATTATAGGTTATAATGTTTCATTATGTTGATTAATCTAATGAAACTAAACTGTTCTTCTATTAATTAGTCTTGAAAAAGTTGTCCACATGACTGGAAGACTTTGCATTGATAGAGAACAGAAAGCCTGAACTTAACTGTATAGCGATAGATAGGGCTACTATGAATCTGATCAAAGTCAGTCTGAGTAATTTTTCTTGTTATTACATTGTAGAAGCACCAACCGCATTGATAATGCATTTTGTTCTACAGAGGTATCAGGAAGCAATAAGTATTTGGTCAGAAAAATGTTAGCTTTTTGCTTACATTGAAAATATACATGACTTCATGAAATAAAAAGTTTTCCCCTTGTAAATGAAATAAATCATCTGTTTTATGGAATTTTTATTGTCAAGGAGGTGCAATAAGAATAGCTAACCTCTTGTAAAATAATGTTTTCAAAAAGCCATTTAGAAATTTTCAGAATGAATCGGATAAAAGTAGTGAGTCAAACAGCATGCACTGACCTTGGGTTGTGACATGCTCATTTGGCGTTCAGAGCAAAAAACCCCACAGAGAAAGTCACATTGTTTTTCCTGGGAGAAGTGGGTGCATCTAGGATCAAGGCAAGCAGGAGAGGAGGATGTACACCTCAGCCTGCAGGGACATCATGTCCAAAATACAAACTGCACAGGCTGTACGTAAATACAGTCCTTATTAGCAGACAGTTGTTCTATTTATGAGCATGAGTTGTCTTTTTTTGGTGTATTTTTGCTTGTTCTGTGAGGGGAAGTTGTTTTATAACAACAACAAAACTTGCATTTGGTAGGAGAAGAAATTGAAAAATTATTACTTTGTGCAGTAGTGAAAGTTGTGTATGTGCAGTTAAGGTATAGATAAGGTAAAACATGCTAAAGATATTTAAAAGCATAAAATTAAATATCAACAAGAATGAAACTAACAGGCAGATTGGCTTACCAGAGCTAGAATGGAAAGTGATGCTAACAGCATAAATGAGTCCTGGGCTGGTAAGCTGCCCTGCAATCATGCTGAAGGATTGTCTGCTACCAGTGGGCCCAGGGGCTGGGCTTCTGGGGGTGTCGCATGCTGCCTCTGCCCCACATCTCGGCTCCATTTGGATTATCCAGACTTCGTCTGAAAAACAGAACACAAGTGCACAGAGAAGCTGTTGCTCAGTTGTTTAATAGTATTTACTCTTATTAAGCTGTAATTGATAGTGAAGACATTTATTTTGGATTATAAAAATATTTCTATACTATATCAGAACTAATAATTCAACAAGACTAACTCAAACACTACTGACTAACATTCATTCCTTTTAGATGGGAGGCTGAAGACCTGGGTTTATGGTGTAGCTGCTGGTGCATTTGTTTTACTCATCTTTATTGTTTCTATGATCTATCTAGCCTGGTGAGTTCTTTAATTATTTACGAACAAGCAGTCCCACACAGTCCGTAGTGCCAGAATTCCCATATGCCACTGTAGAAGCTGCAGGCACTTCTGTGAACTGCAGTGTTTAATTTTCCATGCTCCTTTGTCCAAGATATTGTTGGTGGATGCTGGCTGTAGTCTAGATGATGATTAAACACATGCTCTCCTGAGGTTAGAAGAACTTCTTACAAATATGGGATAGCTTAATCTGTGGTTTATTTTGCTCAGTTTATCTCTGTTAAGAATGTACTGTGTCCATAGTAAGTTCATTGCGTCTGCATCACAACATGCAGAGAGAAATAGCAAGAAGGAAGTTTAGTAATCAAGCAAGTCAGATTTGATATTTGGTGACATAAAAGAGAGACACAGCACAGAAAACTTTCTCATGTGTTTTTCAGACATTAAATAATATTTTGTTGAAAAATCTTAGTGCATGTGAAAGCAAAGTTTTTTTGCAAGAACAAGTAGCCTTTGATAATGTTCTCCCTGGAGTTTTCTAGGTCCTGATCCAAATGACTGTGCAGGTGGAAGGCGAGGGAAGTGTGGTTGTACATCAGGCTTTTGGCTGTACTGCATTAGTAGGCATTTGGGGGCCTTCTGGATTTGTTTGGATTTTAGTAAACCTTCCCCAAATTCTCACTTCTGTCTAAGTAAGGAACAAAATATTTTATTTTTTGAGGAAAAGAAAATCTATTAGCGTACAACTCCACTGAAGATTCTTCGAACTGGAATCTGTGACCACTGTAAACCACTTTATGTACTGGTTTGGTAACAAAGAATTAGATTTGGGCAGCCTAAGTGACATAGCTGAGATAAGGTTTGGATGAGACTGAGGATGCACTGGCCAGATTTAAAGAAATGCTTATATTGCACTCTAAAGAGGACAAGTACTAAAGTGTGCATAAACATGCATTTCCTTTGGTTTGGTCATTTTTAAAAAGTATAGCAAATGGATTGGAAATACTGCTGGATTAAAATCTAATTCCAGGCTAGACAGGGAATGGTTATGGCTAACAACCATATCCCTGCTATCTATGGCTGGTTTGATTATAACATCCAGAATTAACTGTAGCCATTCCAGCAAGTGTAATGAGATAAAACTAATCAAAAGATGGAACTTTCCTGTGGAAACCCTTGATGTGTCAAGAGAGGTTAAGATTTGAGACATATAATTTGAAAGAATCTGATTGTGGCTTGGATACGTGACCAAATAGAATCATAGAATGGTTAAGGCTGGAAAGGACCTTAGAGATCATCCAGTTCCAACCCCCCTGCCATGGGCAGGGACACCCTCCACTAGACCAGGTTGCTCAAAGCCTCATCCAGCCTGGCCTTGAACACCTCCAGGGATGGGGCATCCACAACTTCCCTGTATTGCACTGCAGGCTCTGGGTTCTTCAGAAGATTGACTGATCTTGCAGGATATACCTGCCAAGGATTTAATCAAGTCCCATCGGTGGTGTAACAGCCTATTTCTGAACAACTGATCTTTGAATTAGATGTTGCTTTGA